CTGGAATTACCACGGCTGCTGGCACCAGATTTGTCCTCCAATGGATCCTCGTTAAGGGATTTAGATTGTACTCATTCCAATTACCAGACACTAATGCGCCCTGTATTGTTATTTATTGTCACTGCATGATTGATAGGGACGGAGGGAGAAAGTCAAAAGAAAGAGAAAAAAGTGATCTGAATCCTGCCATCCGGAGTCGGGGAAAAAGAACGCTCGTTCTGGTTTCCCTAAGAGGTCATGCATTCAAATAGTCTCTGGATTAGCCATCGTTTCCCTGTCGTGCAGGTTGTGCGTCGTCCGCACAGCAGTTTCGCTGTGGAAACGAAACTAGAGCTATGTACTCAGCATCTCTCCGCAAGCATAGCCATATGTAACGGCAGCATAGTAGAGATCATGCAATAAAATAAATTTGGATCTGATCTATTGGCCATTAATTTGATCATAGATCTAGAGATTCCGCATGTTCGTTTTGGCAGTTGAGACAAACAGGAGACACGAAGCATGTGACCCTTTTTTTATTGCAACCATGCAAGGTCTTCTTAAGAATAGCATGTTCATATGAATTAGGCTTCTGTTTCTCCCCCTTTCCTCCTCGAACACAATTATACGGCTGTCATTGTTACACACTCCCCTCCATTCCAAAATTTAATACGTCCGCGCTTCCCGAGGTTCAACTTTGACCATAAATTTAATCAACGAGACCAACTGCGGGGGAAAAAATATATATAATTGAAAACTTCTTTGGAATGTGAATTCACTGATATAATTTTTGCTCCCGCCGCAATCGGTCTTGGTAGTTAAATTTACGCTCAAAGTTGAAGCACGAAGATAGGAAGCACTACATTGTGGAATGGAGGGAGTACTCCATCTGTTCACAAATATAAGATATTTTGGATTGAAATGAGTGGACAAACACACTAAAACGTGTCTATATACATCTGATTTAGAAAAAAATTAGAACATCTTATGTTTGTGAATGGAGAGAGTATTTTTTTTCACGGAAAGTATACACCTTATGAGTATGAAGTGAGTTTATTCAGCTATTCTTGGTAGTAGAAATTAAGGGGACGGAACCAAAAGAGTCTTTTGAAACCTGACTGTGAAGGATACACCTAAAGTTGCATGCTCACAAGATTTGCATGAGAGCTTGAAAATGAACAAAAAGGGAAGCTGAGGAAGTGTTTGGTTGCAGATCGGTAACGCAAACGCAAACGTAATTGGGTTACACTGTTAACGTAAACGGTATGGGCAAAAATCATACTTTGTTTGGCTACCTACACTGTAACGTTAAAGAATACCAGAGTTGGGCAAGTACCAGCCGAGGACGAACCGCTGGCTGGAAGCAGATCCAAGCTGCGCATGGCGGGCGAGGAAGGAGGCAGCATCGTTCGTGTCTTGGGGGCGAGGGCCTGAGAGCGAGGCTAACAACAATGACAGCAGTGGCGGCTGCAGCGACGGCGCCGGGCGGCGGACGCGGCGCAACAGAGCGCGCCCATGGCGACGACCGGACCTGGCCGCCGCTACCACCTCACGCCGCCAGCCATGGC